AATAACCCCCATGCCCCCCCCTGGATCCGCCCTTGCGCATGCCAAGGCTTAAAGCAGCAACAACGCTACACATAAAAACTGATGATATTGGAAAAATACACCGAAACGTATTTTGATTGGAAAATGGAGAGAATAAATGACTGAAACCCAGGAATTAATTTGATTTGGAATTAAAACACAGTCAGGAAAGTATATACAGTCAATTTAATATAAGTGCAAAAAATCCGTTATTTGTCTATTGATTGTGTTTTTGAAATTCCTAAAAATACCTTATTTAACTGAAAAAAATCCATTAATAATGCATCTAATCCTTAAGCTGGGGAATGGTAAAACCACCCTTAACGTGTCATTTCGAGCCTAAGGAAACTTGAAAATGCCAGTTTAGACAACATGTCATATTACCCAACGTTCAGAGACGGCAAACGGACCATCGACTTTATCCTCGTTTATAAAATATCCGCGCTGGTAACGCACAATGCCGCAATCCGGCATAGAGCCTTTATTCTGGCCCTACAAACCCTTGGACTGGAAATGGAATACGAAAGCTTTTCGGTAACAACCCCGAAGCGACTTCAACTGACGCTCCTCTTCAATAAGCGAGCAATTTTCCACTTTTAGGTTGATGTAGATATAATGTTCATTAAACTGTACCTGCCTGATGACTTCGCCCACTCCTACGCAGGTCTTTTCGATATAGAACTGGCCTGTACCAGTTTCCAGTTCAGGCCTTACATGGTTCCTCCCCCAGCAGCCTTTTCCTCGCCACTCACTCGTCCAAATGTAAACGACCCCATTTACACCAGAGCACCGTAAGCCAATAGCAACCACTTCCTCACCCTTTCCCACCAAGGCTGCCCTTCCAGCCAATCCATTAGTGGGGCGATTCCTAAAAATATCACATCTGCTGAGCGAATCATGGTGGTCAACCAGATCCTAAACAGGGTCATTTGGGGCGAAGAACGCAGCGAATATGGCGTAACTAAGTACGACTTGCCTGCATAGGAATTACGCTTTAAAATGCATACAGAATGGGTTTTAGACTGATCAAAGCCAAGGTGATTTTGGACGCTTTTCCTTTGCATGATGGGCATTTTAAGTGGACAGTATCAGGCCCGCTAAACGATCGCCAGGTAACCATAGATAAAGACTGATAACAAGTAACAGATAACAGATAACGAGAACAAGTGTATAGAGAATCCAATCGGTGGAACTTTTGCCCCCGGGGGGATCCAGCTTTAGATTCAGGAGGGGGGTTTATGTAGAAAAAAACTGTCTTCTGTTGTCTATAAAATTAGAAAAATTATCGTCGTTTTGTGCAAGGGTGGCGCAAGATTATTGCAAAATTTCATGTTTTCCGTC